TGCATTCACATGCGCACACATGCAATGCTAAAATCTGAATGAGAATTGTACATTTCTGGGTAAACGTTGTTAAAGTCTCAAATCCATAGAGTTTGTGTTATTTAATGAAGCTAACAGGGAATATGGCACCGAAAGGGAGTTGGGGAGCGTTTGGGGAACATCTGTAACGGTCCCCGTTACAATTAGCACTAGTTTTAAATTAAAATACAAGAAAGATATGACCGTTATCCAGGACAAATAATCTTAAAAATGAATCGACAATCAACATTTAAAAAAATCATTCGTCCAAAAGTTAGGACTCGCATTCATCAGAATTCATCAGAAAGAGACTTCATTAAAACATTTACATTTGTAACCATCTGTTTAAAATGATATAAAGAAAAAAATCCCTACGCGTCGTGTTCGTGACAATTTCACTTATTTTGAATGGCAACTTTTACGCACGTAAAGCATTTGACTTTCTTAATTGATCCCAAAAATATAAATTCCTGTTGTAGCTAGGTATAAAATAATGCATATTGATATTAATGTAATAATTCAATCTTTGGCCTATTTGATTTTCAAAACCTTGTAAGAAACGGCCTCATATCTCAAAGAATTGAAATTTAACGAATTATACATTATTTACCTGCCTGCGTCATAGTGCGCTTATTTGGGAACTTTACACAACATACTTTTTATGGATTGTGTTTTGACAATTCAAATTAAATGGAAGAAGCCACTGCAATGGAGATATAAAAATTAGAAACCACATTTCTTTAAGTTTTAATTTTTCTAATGGATTATTCTATATCCAAACGCGTTATATATTAAAAAGAAAAACTGGATAAAGGAAATATTATTCTTCGCTGTCAAACTCGTCAGAATATGTACACTTAACACAGAATGTCCTTAAAGCTAAAAATAAGATATTTTCAAATTAAAAAAAAAACATTTTTCTGATTAAATATAAATATGTACTTCCTTTATTTCTTTCTATACAGAAACCCCACTGATAATTCCTTGGAGATCATCACGTTGTTAGGTACATTGATATTTAGGGTTTATCGTGAGGGACTTTTAGTGACCTAATGTTATCTCAAGTAAACCAAAGGATCTACATTGATCCACTACTATACTCCGAGTATTATGGAGATGCTTTGTTTTATCCCATTCCAAACAAGATTAAGTTCCGTTTTGTCGCGAATTTAAGTGTCTGCACTTTAGTTGTGGCATCGATTGGGACACCCCTTTATTTATTTCTAATGTGTGATTTGAGAATCTTAAATGACTTGGGAAGGATTGAAAAACCTAACATGATGAAATTTGATTCTGGAACATTATCTTTATTATGTTTTTTCCTATTTCCTTTTTTTTCATTTGTGCAAATAATGAAATATTAATATTTGGATCTTAATTTCAGGTCAGACTTAGCACTAATTATTAAAAAAAAAATTATTTGTGCGCTTAAGTGGGTGGCTGGGTGGGTGCTCAAAATGCCTGTGAAATTCTGGTACACTATGCCTCAGCATTACGAAAGAGAATTATTAAAATTAATAGGCTGAGAAAATCTGCGCCATTCTGTACCCCAAAACTGCACATTATTATTTGAAATATTATATTCATGAATTATATCAAGTGTGTGTTTTCTGTGTTATTTTTTTTATTTTTTTTTTTTTGCATTTTTTTTTTTCCTTTTTTTTTCTTTTCTGTTTTGTTTTGTGGGCTTATGTATGGGTGTTTTTTGTTTTTTGTTTTGAATGTTTGTTTGATTTTATAGAATAGACAGACTGGAATTATAAATTTATGTACGGGTAACCCTACCAGCACATGAATTTTGTCTTATAAAAGCTGCAACATGGCCTTTGCTTTGCTACTGTGTCAATGTTAACATTCACCGCATAGATAAAGTATTATTCCTCAACGATTGGTGTTTATACTTTTTGTTGCAACATTTTGATAGGTGAATAAAGAAATAATTTTTAATAAAGAATAATTTAACCAAAACGAATGCAAGTTAGATGAAAGCAAATAATCCTTTTCATTATTCCTATATCCATAAATATTTATTTTTAGAGTTAAGAAAAGGAAGAAATTGTTCATATGAATTGATTGAAAAATTCCACATACCAATAGAATATAGATATAATAAGATGTGTTGTCAATTTATGAAGTCTCTTATGCTTATCATAAAGTCTACTTTTGTTTGCGATTCTCAATCAATATTCCCCACGTCGGGCAAAGCAAATAATTTTTATTTCAGTGTGGCAATGAAGTGTCACTGAACTTATATAGAATAAAGAAAACAAAGCAGTATGGTAAGTTACATTTATTTAACAAGTGAATTTGGAGAAAAACAATTTTACAAAAATGAAATTGGGCAAAAAAAAAATAAATTTCCTGAAAATTATAGTTAGCAGAAAAAGATTCATAAATTTATTTTTAAAATCAGAGAAATTTGAAGAAAAAACTCAGCCATTGCAGTATTTCATTTATCAATCAAAGTATCTTTAAAATAAAAGAGAAAATGTTGTGGAAATGCATTTTTTATAAATAATTTATAATATTTTTTTTCAAAAGAAAATTAGTTATATTTAAAAAAATAAAGGTAAGATGTAGCGGTAAAAATTTGAATAAATGTAGCGGTAATGAGTTGAAATTTTTGGCGATGTAGCGGTAATGTTGACCTGCCGAATATCCAGATTACTTTTCATATAATTTCAAATTGAATTCAGTGAAAATAAATGATTTTCAAAATAATTCTATTAAAACCGTAAAGCACAGGGAAAAAAAAGATGAAATTAATCATGACGTCATAATGGATCTAGCACCAAAATGTTAATCTAAAGTCAATTACTAGATCTCGACCTTATTGGCATAAGGGCATATAAAATCTGTTCGATGAAAAAATATATATATCCTAGGAATTGATAATCATAACTGGAATGCCATGGCCCACTTGAAAAACTTTCTATATGATCTTGTGACTTTTGAGGTTATCAATGATAAGAATAAAATGGAATTTCACTTGTAATGCAGATATGAACAAACTTCTTTTTGCTCTCTTCAAGTATCATTATAAACCTCTAGATATGTAAGGTTGAGAGGTGCAGTTTATTTCAAAATTGACATTATGTTATTTACTTAACAAATGTATTTACCAGGAGCGTCAAGTTTCTTGATAAAAAATCATTTGAGAAAACAATGCGTGTAATGTTATAACGTTTTCTTAAAGTTGAATTTCTCATAATTTCAAGGTCAAAATCCAATCTTTAAAAATGATGTTCTTAAGGATATATAATTCTCAAAGGTCATCCGTACTGTGGGCAGGTATTTATATTTGATTTATCCTATGATTTTGAAATAATCCCGTTATATTAGTTTGTTTAAACACCGCATCTCAATGTAAATTCTTTTTTCAAACCATCGACAAACTGTTCTAGGATTTAGAAAAGCCATGGCAATGAAGCTAATAAAGCTGGCATTAAACAAATCTTTATAAAAAATATTACAACAGATCCGCATCTTCAATAAAACTGAACTAGTTTTCTGATATATTTAGCAAATTTTCGAGCAACAATAGGCCTTTATCTATCCCATATTTTGGGAAAATTATTTCCATCCTAAATTTACCTAACCCCGTAAAGAAGCTATGAAACGCGATAAGAAAAATAAACGGTGAAATATCAATACCTTAAAACTTGAAAATCAGACTATTACAGATAAGAAATACAAATGTAATGAAAACGCGCTTTCACAATTTTCAGCGAAAAATCTCCGATACATAACAAGAATACAAATCTTATTACAGAAAAAATAAACATTAGCTTTCGTTTTTGAATGACTCTATACTGAACCATTAATTCCAATAAATTAAATGCAAGTCTCCAGATAAATTTAAGGACAGGACCAGATCCAATATCGAAAATAAAAAAATCGTCCGATATACATCAAACTTTCAAATTAACTTATAAGATCATATCATATAAAATTCACATTGGGTGATCAGAAAAGCTTTTAGCTCAGAGGAGCTAAATTCCAAACCTTAAATTTTTCTGACTGTCATTTTGTGAAAAATATTTTTTAAAAAACATCGAAATACAATTCTTTCATTCAATGTTCACTCAAGATGTTTAGTTCTGCTTAAAATAAATATTTGAATCGAAGCAAAGGAAATCGATGAATATGTAGTTTAGTTTTTACTGGTAGGTATTTTAGGAGCTGTAAAAGGTGCTTAGTCAGAGATTTGAAATTAATATCTTCTCAAATTTAATGAATAATATTATGCCCTATATGTTGCTATAGCATTTTATACGTAAATAAAATTAAAAACAATTTCAGGGGGCGTTTGATTATCACATCCTTGAACTTTCACAGTTTTTAAAGACTTTATCCTTTATACCTTAGAAAAGTAGCAATTTCTTCTGTAATAACGAAAAATATTTGAATCAAAATCCAGTGTTAGAAAAAAGCATAACAATAGCAATATCATTTATTGATTGTAAATTGTTTAACGTCCCTCTCGTGAATTTTTCACTCATATGGAGACCCACCACTTATAGGTGGAGAGCTACAAATTTTGTCCTACATGTATACTCGACACTCAGGGACATTGAGCAAGGAGGGATCTTTATCCTGCCAGCAACTACTGCGACAAGGGATCTCGGTTTTTACGGTTTTATCCGAAAGACCGGTCTCCATGTCCCACAGTGGGATTTGAACCTGCGATGTTAGGATCAACTCCTTACTTCGCAACTCTACAGCAGGCGTTCTGACCACTGCGCCACGCCGGCGATCAAGGCAAGTATGTATCTCAGTCTACTTGTAATATCCTTTTCCAAATAAAACGCTTCCTTATAAAATCACTGTGACAAAACTTGATCCTCTAAAATACATCTAAGGAAAAAGTTTGTGTATCATAAAATAAAAATATACACCGTATATATTAAAATTATCTAATCAATTTTGAACAAAGGGTACAGACTTCTTGGGGAAAAAATCGAAGTTTATAACAAGAAGTAATGAAGAAAAAGAAAACCATCTTTGCTAATTACTCAAATAGTAACATGCAAAGTTTTCAATTACTCTATCTTGGTCGAATAGAACGTTTAGAATACTTATATCACACTTATTTTATTTGCAAATTATGTTCACACGTTGTAGGTTACAATTCATTGTATTTATAAAATACACCAAATGGTGCATCATTGGTAAGCAGTATTAGAGTGTTCCTAACATTTCCCCTTTTCATAAATATTTATATATTAAATCCTTCTGATATCCAATTTTAAAATTAATTTGTACGGCGGGCGGAGAAAATAAAATTAAATGCCTATAATTTCTGTTTACTTTCTCTAGTGGTGCACCGTGTCATTGCTTTTGATCATCTTTGGCTCTTCAGCATCCACAGCCTCAACTTCCCAAGGGAAAGGTGAAAAAAGACATTTGATCAGTAATGTGTAAATTGTTTTAACATAAAACAACTAAAATGTCATGAAAATTAAAAGGATAAAGAGGTTAATGTAAGAAAACATATTCGCACACTTTCTAGCTGATTCTAATTTCATTCATCCCAATGTAATTTTCTGTGCTTAGAACAGATTTTTGATTTAACACTTTGCAATTTAATTAACTTTTGTAAATTGCATAATTGTCAAAGAAACTGTTATATTTTAAAAGTTATTGCATTTTGCAGATTGTACTCTGAAACCTACAGATCTTGTATTTGTCTTGGATGAGAGTGGGAGTGTGGGGGAACCAAATTTTATTCTTCAAAATGAATTCGTTGCAAAATTTGTCGAAGATTTTAACATTGGCAAAAATGCAACCCAAGTTGCAGTAGTAACTTTTTCGACTTTAGTAAAAGTCGAATTTTTCCTGGACACTTATCACGATAAGTCACAATTAATTGAGGGTATTAAGCATATTAACTACTCACATCCCGGTTTAACAATGACTCAAAGAGCTCTAGCAACGGTAAGAACTAAAATTTTGTTCCCATCGAAAGGAGGAAGACCCGACGCTCTGCCTTTCGTAATTGTTCTGACTGATGGAAAATCCATGAATCAAGCTCAGACAGAATTGGAAGCAAAAAAACTTCATAACATGAATGTCACAGTTTACGCCATTGGTATCTCCGATCAGGTGAATGAAGTCGAATTGCGGGGAATTGCATCTAAAAAGGATTACGTCATTATGGTGAAAGATTTCAGTATTTTGAATTCTGTACGCGGTAAAGCGCTAGCCGGTGCTTGCGAAGGTAATTCTTTATACGTATCTCTTTAGATTCAATAACATTTTAAGGGCGCTATATTTTGAATCAAAAAATTTGTTTTACAGCAATTTTGAAAAAAGTAAAGGGAGACAATGCCACTCTATCAACAAAGCCAGCGCTTACCACTATGAAAACCACAGCTACTACAACTACCAAAACGACTCCTACCACCACACCACCGACCACCACAACTCCGACCACTACCACCACAACTCCGACCACTACCACAACAACTCCAACCACTACCACAACTCCAACCACTACCACAACAACTCCAACCACTACAACAACTCCAACCACTACCACAACTCCTACCACTACCACAACTCCAACCACTACTACTACAAAACCTACCACTACCACAACTCCAACCACTACCACAACACCTACCACTACCACAACTCCTACTACCACAACTACCACTACAACTTCTACCACTACCACAACACCCACCACTACAACAACACCGACCACCACAACTCTTACGACTACCACTATAACACCCACTACTACAACTCCTACGACCACCACCACAACACCCACCACTACAACTCCTAAGACAACCACCACAACTGCCACCATTACAACTCCTTCCACTACAACTCTTACTACCACCACCATACCGGCCACAACAACGCCTACCAGTACAACCTCGATATCTACTACTACTCCTAGCACTACCTTACTTACCCCTACAACTTCATCCAGCTCCATTATTACCACCACAACTCCTACTACCACCGACATCCCTACCATTCGAACATCATCCACAACCACTCCTCCTACTACGACAGTCAAAACCCCTTCTACCACAACCCAAAAAATGAACACTTCTCCTAAACCCCCCAGAGCTACGGCCTCTAGCACCAAACATAGCACCACAACCATGACAAAAACTACTTCCATCACCACTGCTATGAGGGTTAGTCATGTCACGCGTCTAGGTAGTTCAAACCATATTTTCAGAACTACCACAGCAATGCCTATTCCAGGTTTGTGCGTTTAGTTACATAATTAAATTAAACTAGTATTCTACAGTAGGCTTGAACTTCTAAATTAACAAGGATTGCCAATACTATGTTCAAAGGAATTTATTTATAAATTATTTGTAAAATTACATATGCCTTTACCTAAGTATGGAAAAATAACGTATCTTTAATCAGGCTGTCAAACAAACTTTTTCAGCAAATAAGTTACACTGTGACTTCCAAAATTCAGCATGTGGCTTTTTACTTCACCAACCCTATTCCAACACCACATGGATTATGTGCAGTGGGTCAACCGCAACATGCAAAATTCACCCGATAAATGACAACACCTTCAGAAACTCAACTGGACAGTTTCTCTATATAAATGGATCTATGATAAATAAGGACAAATCGGGATACATCTTCAGTCCACTGATAAGTGACCAATCAAACAAAGGAGCCTGTCTTCAATTTCATTATCAAATGTTTGGAACTGATACAAAAACCCTAAATGTGTACATAACAAACGGGTCTATATCTCTACGAGACGCTACCCTAATTTGGTCGAAAACACTAACCGCAACAACACGCAGCTGGTATTCTGCAGAAGTACTACTGAACATAGGTCCCAAAGGCAGGGTAAATGATAAATATAACCATATTTTTTTCAAAATATGCTATAATTCGTAAACTCCATTTAACTTAAGTCATATATATAGATACATGTTTGAATTTATACCAGATTGATACAAGATTTCCTTGGTTGAAGAACTTGTAAATGAAAATAAGTTACGAATTGACTGTAGTTCGCAGGGTATAGTATTTAATTCGAAGCTATTCTATTTAAGGTGATTTTTGAAGGATTAAAGCCAAAGCTTAGCGAAAGCGGATTTGCGATCGACGATATATCGGCAACACTAGGAGTCTGTTTACGTAAGTCAGAAATTCTGCTTTAAAGATACTGGTTAGCTTTGCTTGAATATAAAAAATGTTTTAATATTGATAAACTGTCCTTAAAAACGAAAAAAATACTAACACAACAATTCTATCTCAAGAAAAATTTGCATCACTACAAGCAAGCCTTTTTTCAGTTTTGCAATGAATAAGGCTGGTGTGACCCGTTGACATGGGATGCTTACTCCACCATGGTACCTGATTCCACTTCTGTGTAGAGGTCTATGTATGCCCTGCTCTAGATTTGCTTTTCAGTATTTTCCCTTTTTATTAAACAAGCATTTCAACATCTTTGAGGCGCCTAGTAATATTATTTTATCTGATTTATTACACAAAACTTTAGTTCATTTAAATATTTATACAGGACTAACTGATGCGTAAGTGCAAATGTCTGCCCGTCTATTTGTTACGCTTTGAGGTCCCTTCTCATATCAAAGCATGGATAACGCCACTTTAATCATATGGGGGGCGAGTGGTATCATTTAGAGAGCTTAGTGCTCAAAGTACCTCTGGTTTTATATAGTTACTACATCTATATTTAGTATATTTACATAACGTGCTATTTATATTTTCCATTAGGTCATACATCGTCATCTCCTGATTTATCGGTATCAAAATCCACACCTGTATCATCTCAAACTTCCAATCCTTCGACCAGCAGGTTTTCTAAAACAAAATTTGTAATTCCTGGTTGGTTCCAACTTATCGAAATCGGGCTCATCGGTGTATCAGCTATCATTGGCGTTGGGGTTCTTGGATGCTGTTGCTTGAAATTCTTTGGTGGCAAACGCAGGCAGGACGACGATGATGAAGATGAAGAAGATGAAGAGGAAATACTGCCCTCATGGAAACAGAGCCACAGACTTCCAGCATCAAAACCAGGAGGATGGACAAATGGACTTAAGTTTTAATGACATGTACAAGAGAATTATCTTAATTTTCCCAAAATGTTGTCTTTGATCAAATTAAAAAAAAATAAATATGATTATAAATTCTCCATAATATCAAACATCATTACACGTGTTTTTGTGTTTAATAAACTGAAGACCTGAAGCATGATTGCTGAGATCATTGCAGCTGCAGAGTACATTAAAATTATCTAATTGTGTTAGTCTTTAAAAGATATATAGGTAAGTGACTTAATGGAATAATCTTAATATACTCCACCTCTAATAGCATCAGATTCAATGACACCTTTTATGAAAGTATGTAAGGGTTGTAAAATCGGCAAATATAGATTCAAATCCCCTTAGTTATAGCGAATTATT